TGGTCTTAAACACCCAAAAGGAAAGTATAACCAAAGATTAAAGGGGCCAATATAATTTCTTAAGAGTCCATATGCACAGCTAAAAGCTACATAACAAGCAACACTGCCAGATAGGAGATACCTTCTTTTGAGTTGTTGGCCAGGGTGGCCAAAGGGACTCCCAGATTACACTCTTAAGAATTCAAATTCGCCAGGCATGGTGGCACATACCTTTAGTCCCAGGAGAGGCAGGTGGATCTCTGTGAGTTCGAGGCCAGTGTGGTCTACATAGTGAGTGCCAGGCCAGCTGGGACTACAGGGAGACCCTGTCTCAAAAAGACAAAAAAAGAAAGAAAAGAATTCAAATTCAGCCAGGTGTGGTTAGCTCACCCCTTTAGTCCCAGCATTTGGGAACCAGAGGCAGGCAGATATCTGTAAGCCCAAGACTAGCCTGGTCTATATAGTGAGTTCCAGGCCAGATGGGGCTACAAGACGACCCATCTCAAAAAGACAAAAAATATTACTAACAATAATTCAATTCAGCATTAATTAGCAGAGGGAAGTGGAATTCTGCTAATACGCTCCTATTGTTTTCAAATATTTGACAGGTGAAATGTTATGATTATGAAAGAAAAAGTTTAATTGGTCAGAACCAGGATGAACAAAAAAGACCTGTCTCACAGCTGAAAAGTTGTCTGATTAAACATGGTAGATAGGAATTATACACTTAGAGGACTTGTGTCATCCCTCATTTTCTTAACAATGCATAATTAATGGCTGCTGCAGGACCAAAACAGGTGTCATGGATTGAATTAATTGACTTAATTCACAAGCATAATGCAGTAATTGAGGAACTCTGGAAAGCTAGACCTCTCGTTAACAAACCAAGTGTCTGTCAATAACTCCTTTCTTGATTCAAGATCATTTTCTCTTCTGTAGCTCATGCCATTTCAATTTCTTTACTAGACCCTCATTTCACTCCCTCCTTGTGACTGACGTTCTTCTGCAGATAGAACCTAAAAAGGATTCCCGGCTTTCTGTTTGTTCTGTGTCATCCATGTCACAAGGAAAACCTGCCATCCAGATCTCCGTTCTCTACTGCCAACACCTCCACCTACCAATGGCACCACTGACCATGTGAAGGATTGGGGACCACCATGATTCCCCACATCCTAGCCACTAACAACTCCAGTTTCTCTCCTCCCTATTTCTATCCCTGTGACCACCGACTAATTTTGATCTAACTACCCCCCGCAGCTACTGCAACAGCAACTCATCGGGTCTTATGTGTCCCCTCCTAATTCATATGTTGAGGTCCAGACACCCAGGATCCCTGAATGTGATCACACAAAGACATAAAGTCTTTTTTTTAATTTATGTGCATGACTGTGTTTCCTGCATGGAGGTGGGTGCACCTGTGTTATGCATTGCTCTCAGAAGAGGGTGTTGGATCCCCTAAAGTTGCAGTTATGGATGGGTCTTCTGCAAGAACAATCGATGCTCTTAATTGCTGAGCCAGCTCTCCAGCCCAACAAAGTCTTAAAAGAGGTGAAGTTAAAATGAGGGTAGGTTTGTAATGTGCATAGGTCTATCATCCTTAGAGATGAAGACACAACACAGAGGGACCAGATGGGGTTCTGGGGAGAAGGCAGCCATAGCAAGCTATAGAGAGAAACCTCAGAGGAAACCAAACCTATGGACAACTCCGTCTTGAATTCCCAGTCTCTGGACATGTGAGGAACTATATCCAGTATAAGACCACCAGGACAAGTTCTCACTGCTCTTTCCTCCACCACCCTATCCTCAGGCCTCAGCCTCACTGCCTAGCAGAATCACCTGGGACATTACAGAGCACCTGTACACATGCTCTACCGAGGGATCTAATGGAAGCCACAGATGGTGACACCTGGGTGTTAGTTTGTGTCTACAACTCAAGTTACTCTCTCAGAGTCCACTTCCTGGGTTGCAGCCAACCACAGACAGAAAATACGCAGAAAAGCCAGTGTCTGCCTCTAATATGTGTTGACTCCTCTTTTCATTGTTTGCTAAGAAACAGCATAATAGCCATTTGTATGTTAGTTACATTGTATTAAATATTATAAGTAAAAAAAAAAACAACAAACAAACTTCTAGTCTATGTGTTGGAAGACCCACCACCTTTCCAGTTTCACAGGAATGCCCCCAGGAAGCCAGGTTCACCTTAAGCTGTGCTAAATAGATGGGCAGAAAACATAGTAGGTTAATGAGATGGTGAACCTTTCCTGCTTAGAGTCCCCCTCCCAGTGCAAGTCTTCTGGACCAGGCCAAAGACATGTAGCTCTCTGCAAATCGACCTGCTTTTCTCAGTTCTTCAGAAAAGTGTCCTCTCTCTCTCATTTACTTCATATCCCTTTTCAAACATGCTTTCTTCAATGCACTGGGCTTCCTTCTCCCCATGATGGAGGCCACCTGTTTGACCTCCATGCAGACTCTAAATCTGCATGACTTCATGGCTTTTTTTCTTCCTCCTCTCAAGGCAGATGCGAGACTTGCAGGTTGCAGGCCCAAAAGATTTTTCTTTAAATTCAAATAAAATTTTCCTAAACCTTTGGTTTCGATCTATTCTTTTTTGCAACTGGATCTCCCTGTAGCTCCCGCTGGCCTGGGCCTTAACTATGTAGACCAGGCTGGCATTGAACTCACAGAGATCCCCAGCCTCTGCCTCCTGAGTCCTGGGACTACAGGGCTTCTTAAATACTTTTATGAACCCTCTAGGGGATGCACTTTCTCCCCTGTATCAGTGGGTACCAAAGACAATGTCGGACTTTACAGACAGTTGTTAGCTGCCATGTGGGTGCTAGGAACTGAACCCCCATCCTCTGCAAGAGCAGCTGGTGCTATTAACCCCTGAGCCATCTCCCCAGGCCCTGTTGTTGCCACCATACCAGGAGCAATGGTACATTTGAAAAAATAAAAATAAAAAGTCCACGTTGATAGGGTTCATATCCAGGAGACCCCAGACCCAGAAACCATAAGAACCCTAAGAGGAAATGAGTCAGCCAACTCCTAGCCACCTGCAAGCTAACAAAAGCAGCTCCAGGAAGTTAATGACCCAAGGTATTGTGATCACCAGAGAATGCTCCATAGGCTGACAAACAGGTTTCCCAACCCCTTAGCTGCAATGAGTTCCTGGAATGCTGTAATTGTAGAAAACGTGTTTTACAATAGATGTCCTCGAGAAGTTTCACCAGGTACACACCCCATACCCTCCCCAAACGACCCCCCAAAAACAAAAATATTCTCTTTTCCCCGCATTCTTTCCCTTTATAAGCTACCCCCTGAAGCCATTAGGCTGCTGGTTCTTCCTCACACCCGAGTTGAGGACCAGCCCAGCCAAGCCATTACTCTCACTTTGCCAGAGTCCTCTGTTTCTGTTTCCTAGCGAACCCCACCTGTGCCACCCTTTTATCTAACACACATACACTTAAAAATAAAAACAAAACGCATGAAACCAGACAAACCTCGGATTTAGGACACTGAGCTGCAGCACGGAACCCTTGTCAAGCGCGGTCCACTGCCCCTGAGAGTCAGGGCATCACATCCCAGCACAAACATGTCAATGGGAAGCTGTCCGTGGGTGACTCCCCGTCCTAGGAGCTCCAGAGTCTCGAACCCAACCCGCACTGCGCTCTAGGACTCCCGAGGATCCTGGACCACGTGGCACTCACCTGACTCGGGTCTCCCCGCACAGCCGCTGCCATCTGACTCTGCCGGCCAGAGGGACACAAGGGCCGTCCCTACCCCAGGCCTGCAGCGGGTCAAGGGACGCCGCAGAGCCGACTCGGAGCCACAGGACTAAGCCGTGCTCCTCACTCCGTTCCTCCACTGGCCAGCTGGACGCAAACCCAGCCAGAAAATCCAGGAAAAGCAAAGCTGGAAATCCCCGTCCCAAATTGCGAAAATCAAAGCCCTGTTTTCATTGGCTGAGCCTTCCCGGACTCCCCGCGGTCTCCTCTGGGTAATGTAGTTCCCCAGCGTCAATCATGGGGGACGTGGACACAGCTGTATGGTTGGAGATGGAGACTCCGCTGTAGAGACAGAGATGGAGACTCAGCTGTGGAGACGGAGATGGAGACTCAGCTGTGGAGACGGAGACTCAGCGGTAGAGATGGAGATGGAGGTTCAGCTGGAGAGCTTGAGACTCAGTCTCCACAAACGAGAAACCTGCGCAGATTGTGCTGTTCTAGATGCACCAGTGTCTCCATTTCCTTGAACAGCTGCTGCCTCCGCCTTTCCTTAGTGTCTTCAGGACCCCGCTAAAGAGTCTTAGCTGGTGAAACTTACTGTCCCCCAGCAGTATGCATAGTACCTTCCAGTACTCGGAAATTCCTTGGGTTGGAATCCTGTATAAAGCCTTAGATTTCTCTTAGCATAGAGATGATTAATGTAAAAGTTATCGATTAAGCCGGGAAAGGCGATGCAAGTCTTTAATACCAGCACTCGGGAGGCAGAGGCAGACGCATGCTCTGCATAGCAAGTTCCAAGACAGCTGTGGCTACAGAGAGACCCTATATCAAATTAATTGATAAAATAAAATAAAACGTGAAAAAAAAAGTCATCGTAGTGATACAATATCTGATCAATATCTGATGTGTGAAACTGAGGAAAGACTGATACCGGTTCAGGCTGGCAAAGGCCAAAGGCCAATAAGCCAGAACTCCACAACATTCCCCTGTTTTTCTTTCTCTTTTAAAGCCGGGGGTCTCACTGTGTAGCTCTGGTTGGTCTGGAACCCCCAGAGAGGTCAGCCTACCTCCTCCTCTGCAGTTCTGGGAGGGAAGGACTGCGCCTCCGCCCCCACTGGTTCTGAAAACACAACCATTCACTACAAGTGGGAAATACTTGCGGCATCATCAATCTGACAGTCTCCTCCTGAGTCCGCTGAACTCCCTGCAGACTGATTCTCCATCTCCATCCCTGCACTGTGTCCACTTGTCTGGAGTTGGATGCTGCAGGTACTGCATTACCCAGAAGGGACTGCGCCAAGAGGCCCGCGGCCTCAGCCAGTGAAAACGGACGTTTCCATGGCTACAGCTAGCGTTGGGCGGGACTTTGGCGGTTCGCTGCCTGGGATTCCTTTCAAAGTTCCTGTTTGGGTTGGTCAGGTCCGGGAAAACTAATTTTCCTGGGCATAGGCCCGGGCAGGAAGGAGGAGAGGAGGGAGGCTTTGTCCTCGGGCACCGCGATGGGTCTGAAGTCCACGACGCCCCGGGAGCCCCGCTGCAGGTCTGGGGTGCGCACGGCCGCGTCCTCGTACCCGGCTCGCCCGCAGAGTCTGATGGCGGCTGTGCGTGGAGCGGCGGATCCGGTGAGTGCGGCGTGATTCCGGGCCCACCCGAGTCCCTAGAGCATGAGGGTGAGCTAGAGCCTGCAGCAGGGCCCGTGGCACAGTGAGACCTCGGGCCGAAATGCTCCTTTTTGCCCTGTGTGTGCTCCGGTGTGATGCCCGCTGATTTCCAGGGTGTGCTGGGCTGCGACCTCCAAAGGCTTGGGGAGAGGGGAAGGGCTCAACGCTCCCGAGGAGGCTGAGCTTTATTTAGGAAGGCGCTGGTGGAAGATTGGAACCGAGGAGAGAGAGAGTCGACCGATTTCTTAGTTTTCCAAGCCTCAAGGCCAGAAGTGGGAGGGTCACGGGGGTAGAAACAAGGCGCCCTGAGAGTCCTTAAACCCGGTATACTAAGGCAGGAGGCTGGTGGGTGTGGAGCATAGAGCTGACCACAAAGCTGGAGAGAAGTGTTCAGATATGAAGTGGACTTTAAAGCTGGACAGGACAGCCTGAGCTACATTTAGGCGTGAATGAGCTCAGAAGAGGTGTCGGGAGCCGCTAATCATTGAGCTGCAGCAGCCTCTTATACTGAGTTTGTGTCATGCAAACCAGTACTTAACCTGCCCATTCAGGAGGAAGAAGTTTTCTGGATAGCCTCACAATACCTGACCTTGAGGCATTAGTGGTAAACAAAAGGATCCAAGAAGCCTTTGATCTGACCTCTCCCTGACCCTCAGATACAGGTGGGGAAATACAGCAGTTGTAACTAATTGAGTTCTTCTGTATAAAAAGACAGAGCTGAAATAAACCAAGGCTGGCAGTATTCACTGTGAGCCCTCCCAAGAAGCATCTTTCCTGTCTTCTTCCTTTCTTTCAATCCTCACTCCCCCTTTCAGGTACTGTCCGTTTTGGCCGCCTGGCACCGGCAAAGGGGCCATTCAAGTGTTTTTGTTCTGATCATGTTTTCACATGGAGGGATGGAGGGAGGGAAGGTTGTGCTGGGAGCAAGTTTAAGGGAGATTAGATGGGTTTTGGCCATGGGGATCCTGAGAGTCTGAGATGAGTCACCCAGGCAGCTTGCACACTCACATCGGGACTTCTGGGAAAGGATCTCAGCTTTATAACTAAAAGGCTGCCAGTGCAGGCCTGAACCAGCACAAAGCCTGGGTGATATTTGGGGAGGAGAATCTTAAATTTTTTCTTGAGATCCGCCTGCCTCTGCCTCCCTATCACCGAGATTAAAGAAGGATGCCATCACACTTGTGAATTCTAAGAGGTTTTTTAATGTGGGTGGACTCTTAGGTGAACAAGGAAGGACTGATGGGCCTAAAGAGTATGGCTATTGGCTACTGTCTACAGGGTTGGCAGTTCAGAGTGGAAGGATTCTGGATGGAGATCTGGGTGAGGGGCTTACAGAGTGGACTCAGCAGCAGGCCTTCCTGTGGAGAAAAGAAAGGTCAGCCATGGTGATGATCAGCCTGCTTCACCTCATTTCCTCAGCCTTCCATGTGAGAGAAGATCACCCACCTCTACAGAGGACCCTCTAACAAATTTCCTCTTATGGGGTGTATACTGTGCAACTGGCTGGAACCTAGGAGCTGACCCCTCAGGGCGAGGCTCTGTGTTCATTAACTTTATGTATTTTATTTATTTATTTTTTATTTTCGGTATACATGCTTATTCCCTGCACGTAGGTAAGCGCGCTCGTGTCGTGCAATGCCCAAGAAGGACAGAAGAGGCCGTCGGATCCCCTGGAACTGGAGTTACAGACAGTTGTTAGCTGCCATGTGGGTGCTGGGATTCAAACACGGGTCTTCTGCAAGAACAGCCAGTGTTTTTAACCACTGAGCCATCTCTCCAGCCCCCTAGAAGAATAAAAAGATTTTAATTAAAAAATTTTAACATGCAATTTTTCTTGTAGCAAATTGAGCCTATTTTTGATTTTATACCTTTCTTTAATGTTAAACCAGAGAAAATCCAAATATTATATTTCTTTCCTTGGTCTGAACAGCCTCTGTAATTATAAATCTTGAAATTCAGAAATGTTTATTTATTTATGAGCCAATTTATGAGTTTTTTTTTTTTTTTTTTTTTTTTTTTTCGTTTCTCTGTTTTGACAGGGTCTAAGTATGGAGCCCTGGCTGACGTAGAGCTCATAGACATCCACTTGTGTTTGCCACTCAAGTTCTGGGATTAAAGTAGTGCACCACCACACCTGGCTCATGAACCTTTTATTTCGTTTTATGTGTGTTATGCCTACATCTATGTAGTGCACCTGTGTCATGCAATGCCCACAGAGGCAGAAGAGGGAGTCGGATCCCCTAGAACTGGAGTCATACATGGTTGTCAATCTCCATGTGGGTGCTGGGATTTGAACCCAGGTCTTCTGCAAGAGCAGCCAGTGCTCTTAACTCCTGAGCCATCTCTCCAACCTGCAATTGATGTATCTTAATACCAGCCTTTACACCCTCACTTGCATTTCTTTGAAAAACGTTTTACAAACTTCACAAATATTTCTGTCAGGCACTTTTAAAAAATATTATTTTTTATTATTTTATGTGTATGAGTGTATTGCCTGTACTTTTTAAAAATCTATGATACACCTTTCCTTCACACTAATCTGATTTTCACAAGCATTACAATCGATATTCACGTGGGTAGTTGGTGGAGAACCAAGTACTTGGCAATGATTTCTTCACTATTTGTCCTTCACTAATGTGCTGTTTAATCTGTGTGGTGTATTTCTGTCGTTTCCTTTACTGGTCGTTTCTAGCTCCATCCTGTTGCTGTCAGGTAGAACACTGGGACATTTACCAAGTTTTTTATTTTGGAGGACTTGGTTTCCATATCCATATGGTGTCTACTGTAGAGAATCTTCTATGAGCTGCAGAGTACCGTGGGAGGGCATGTTGTTTTTTATCTTTTTAATCCTGTTTGTGCTTTTTGAGACAGGGTCTCTCTGTAGCCCCAGCAGTCCTGGAACTCACTATGGAGACCAGGCTGGCATTGAACAACACAGAGCTCCCCCTGACTCTGCCTCCCAAGTGTTGAGATTAAAGGTTTGTACCACCATGCCCCGCTGAGACCCTCTATTTCAAAAGAAAGAAAAAAAATGGTTGAAGATATGGTTCAGCCGTTGAGAGCACTGACTGCTCTTGGAGAGAACCAAGTTTGATTCCCTTACCTGACAAGGCAGCTAACAACTGTCGGTAAGTCTAGTTCTAAGGGATCCAGTGCCCCCATCATATCTCCTCAGGTATTGCATCACATAGGTGCACTTACATGCATGGGACCATAACACTCATGAACATAAACTAATAATAAAATATTTTTTAAAAAGATGCTGGGCTTGGTGGCACACACCTTTAATCCCAGAGAAGCGGAATCTGTGAGTTCCAGGCCAGCCTGGTTTCCATAGTGAATCCAGGAAAGCTGGGGTTACAGGGAGACCCTGTCTCAAAAAGACCAAAAAAAAAAAAAACAAAAAAAAAAAACCTACTGACGCTGCAGGGAGACTCTATCTCAAAAAGATTAAAAAAAAAAATAAACCCGAAAAACAGTAATACATAGAGAAATGCAAATTAAAACCACAATTATGTGCCACCACATACCTACTAGAAAAACTAAAGTAAATGGACCTTGAGTTACAAAACAGCCAAAAAACTGGTGTCTGATATTTTCCAGCAGGAAAGATAAACTACAGCACCATGTGCAAGGGAATCTGGTCAACTTCTTAAAAATTTTAAAACATTTCAGCTGGGCGTGGTGGCACGTGCCTTTAGTCCCAGAACTTGGGAGGTAGAGGCTGGCAGATCTGTGTGAGTTCAAGGCCAGCCTGGTCTATATATAGAGTTCCAGGCCAGCTGGGGTTACAAGGAGATCCTGTCACAAGAAGACCAAAAATAAAATTTTTTTTAAACATTTAAATGGCACCTAATGCAAGAGCATTGGGACCTACCTGGACTTGGTCCCCAGAAAATCTAGGGAAAATTAGGCACACAGCAGAAAATCTCTGAAATAGTTATCGAGAGCATAGAGCTAATGAACATTTATTTAGAGAAATGTAGCATTCAGTTAGAACAATCATCAGCCATTTAAACCAAGGCCATTATTGTGTTCCCACCCTGTCCAAACTCAGTAACATGGACACTCCATTCCAGTCTGGAGCAGTAAGGAACACAGGGCTCAACTCTCCCAGTGGCACCATTCAAGAACCCCTCACTGGGAACTGATATCAATAACCCTGCGGCTGTTCCAACATGGCAATCTGATGAGAAGTCTCAGTTGCTGGCTGTCTCACAAAGGCTACCCTCAAAACTTGTGTTTTGGGTCAAGTTCAATCCAAAGCTGGTCAGTGGCTGAAGCTTTTCTACATTCCCTGCATTCATAAACATATCTGGGTTGTTACTGTTGCTAGTGAGAGCAGACCTTTGCTCAAAGGCTTTCCCATGATCAATCAGTGCCTGTGTGACTCATTCCAGCACTGTGATCTCTGGGGCTAGAGATGGAAGAACGGGCAGAGGATCTCCAAACTGAAGCACTGAAGCATTTTGTGCAGTGGACACTCTGCTGGGGAATTACATTAGACAACTACGGTATTGTCCGTGTTCACTGCACTCACAATGCATCCATCACCTGGGAATCTTCCAGTGTCTACAAAGGCCACATTCCCTGCACTTAAATGACGTTGTTGCAGTGTGAACTCTCTCATGTTAAATGAGGCTGGATGTTCAGGAAAGACTCCCACACTCATTGCTGTCCTCTGCTATGAACATTGTGTGTTTTGTAAGGGAAGAGTTATTTGGTAAAAGACTTCCTGCGTTCACTGCACTCAAAAGGCTTTTCCCCAGTATGAATTCACCTATGACTTCGAAGGCCACGTTTCCCCTAAATGCTTTCCCACACTCACTGCACTCATAGGGCTTTTCCCCGGTGTGAACACGGATATGATGACGTTTAAGGGTGGATCTGTACCTAAATGATTCCCCACATTCAGGGCACTTAAAAGGCTTTTCAGCAGTGTGACAAACTAAGTGTTCCTTGAGATGAGAATTTCGGATAAAGGATTTCCCACATTTTTCACATTTATAACGCCTTTCTCCAGTGTGGCTTCTGTGATGTTGAAGGAGTTTGCAGTGATACTTGAAACCCTGTCCACATTCACTGCATCTAAAAGGCTTTTCTTCAGTGTGGACACTGCGGTGTTGAATGAGGTCACTATTGCAACCAAAGGATTTCTGAATTTTGGTATACATGTAAGGCTTGTGAATTGTTTGGTGCGCCAGAAGGTTAGATTTATGTTTAAATCGTTTCCTACATTCACTGCATTCATAAGGCTTTTCTCCCGGGTGTAGTGTCTGGTGCTGAGTAAGTACAGAATTCTGACTAAAGGTTTTCCCACCATCACTGCATTGGTAGTTGCTGTTCCCACTGGGACAGGCCTCTCCACTGTTAGAGTTCCTGGATGACTTCCCGACTCCATGAGTCAGCTCATGCCTAAGACCTGGGCTGGGCTGCACGTCCATCCCATTATTCCTGCTTTGTAAATTCTTCAACTGGTGTTTTGTGCCATTCTTCTTTACAGAGATCCTGGCCTCTTCTATTTGTAAGGGCTTCTCACCACGTCTCGGCTTTTGCTGCTGGGGAATGGCTGCACCGAGTCCTTCATCTGTAGAAATACTCTGCACAGCAGGTGCATTTTCAGCCTCCACTCCATTCCAACAACCTGAGAAAGAGAAATGCTGATGAAGGGAATGGAGACTTTGGTGTGGAAGCACATGCTAGAGACGAGGACGGGAGATTTGTCAGGATGAAAGGGTCAGGTGACAGAGAGAAGGACATACTACAGTGCTGAATCTACCAAGATCATAGATCAGAGGTCTCATGGGGAGTGGGATAGCCCTGGTTCAGAAATAAAACAAGTCACAAGCAGACAATTGGGCAAGCTAAGACAGAGGGAAATCTGAAATAATTCTGCCCCTTGGCACAGAACATGAGAACCAGGAAATGATGTTTGACATGAACCTCCTGGAGAGCTGACACATCACCCAGCTTCAGCCTCCTCGTACCTGTCCACATAGCTGGAGTCATGATTCCCAGTGCCTGGATGAAGGGCTCTCCCCACAGCTCCAGATGACTGATTTCTTGGGTTCCAGAAGGTACAAGTCCTATGAGAAAGGTAGGACAGGTGAACAACCTACACTACAAAAACAGAGACCCAACCATGACAGTCCTTAGAAGAGAAAACCAATGGAAAGCTCCTCAGAGGAGTGTGACCTGAGAAAAACCATGAAATAGTGACCACATCAGTGCCACCATTCTACCGCAGGCAGAACAACTGCATGTCAGTGGGAGGAAAAGGGCAGGGCCTGGGATCGTCTATTGCTGTGATAGAAACACTGACCAAAGCATTTTTTTTTTCAGTCTTTTTGAGACAGGGTCTCCCTGTAGCCCCAGCTTGCCTGGAACTCACTATGTAGATCAGGCTGGCCTTAAACTCACAGAGATCCATCTGTTTTCTGCCTCCCATGTGCTGGGATTAAAGGAATGCACCACCACGCCCAGCTGCAATTTATTTTTTTAAATATTTTGTTTTATATGTACCAGTGTATCGCCTGCACGTATGTGAGTCCACCCATGTAGTGCAATGCCACGGAGGTCAGAAGAGGGGCTTCGTATTCACCTGGACCTGGAGTTAAGGACGGTTCGTAGCCACCATGTGGGTGCTCGGAATCGAACCCAGGTCTTCTGCAAGAGCAGTTAGTGCTCTTAACCATTGAGCCATCTCTCCAGCCCAAACCAAAGCAATTTATAGAAGGAAGAGTTTATTTGCACTTAGGGTTCCAAGGGTCCACAATTGCTGGCTCTAAGAGTTCCGTGGTTCTTGGCAAGAGTGCTCTTTGACAAAGTTCCAGCCCAAAGCCGATGACCGCTGCTCTTTTGGTCGATATCCCTTCCCCAGTTACTCCTGGTTTTTTTAATTTGTATAACCTTCTCTTCTTTAAGTATTCTGATAACCAACTCTGATGATGGAATGGGAAACTAAACCATGGAAATCTCTGCCTTTAGCAGAATTATTATGTTACTGAAACAAAACGAAAGTAATAAGATAGACGACTTCCTCCTATGACTATGATCTCATTTGGACGTGCATTTGTGATTAATAATGAGGCTTGGTTTCCCCCAAAAGGAAAAGATAGCATGCAATAGATGCCCTGCTGCCTTTTACAGGAGTTTATGACTTTAACCCTAAATGAGGAACTACTGAGACTAAAGTTTGGTATAAGGAAAAACTATTTGGCTTAGGGAAACTCCTTCTTAGATAGAAAGATTAGCTAAGTCAGTAAAAAGCTGGTGGTGCATGACCTCTGAAGAAAAATTGCCTATTCTTTTACAAAGACTAAAAGCAATTCAAAAAGCCTTTAAAGATAAATGGCAACAAAATAATAAACGATATTGAAATAGAGAAAATCATATGACTCAAAGAGTACAAAACATTCAGGAAGAAACCGCAAAACGGAGAGGAAAAAGATAAATTGGAGTATTGGTTAGACAGTAAATAAAGAGTTGGTTATTCCCATCCTCATGAGAAAAATAATTCTCTCAAATATACATGCCTACCTTAAATATTAAATTCAAATAATTAAAGAGCAAATGGGGACAGACTGTCTTACACTTCTATGGTAAAATAGAAACCGCAAGGCTATAAAGAAAACAATGAAGACATTGCTTGGCCATGTTAAGAAAAGGTTAATCATTGAACTTTGTACTTTCCTTTTACTGTGATTATTGAAAAATATTGTACACTGAGAAATATTGTGCAAACTCATGGTTTGATTTATGGTCTGATGCTTTACTGCTATTGTAAGATTTCTAATTATAAATAAAGGTTGTAGAAGGCTGCTTTCAGAAGAGAAGTAGAGACAGAAGTAAAAAAAGAAAGAAGATATTCGGGCTGACCTCCCCCAAGCGGGTCAGTCAACAGCCTCTACTAGAACTGCAATTGTGGTTTCTGGTATAGTCATTTCTACCGCTGCAGTTACTTTCACCCCTTCATGCCCCAGACACAGCTGGAGCTGGACTCAAGCACACAGTCCATCATGGTGGCAGGAAGTTGTTGGAGGAGTAGAAGCTAAGCTCCCACATCTTCAAGCTGGCACAGGATGCAAAAGAGGGACTCCAGATGCAGCAAGGTATAAGACCTCTCTGAGCCCACCCCGGTGATGTGCGTCCTCCAGCATAGCCACACATTCTAAGACCTCCCAAAACAGAGCCACCAACTGGTGACAAATATCCAAATACTTGGAGCCTATAGTTTTCATTCAAACCGTCACATTGCATCATAGAAGTGCCATGTATTTATAGTGTCACCAGACTGTGGAGAGGCAGCATGGTCAGATCTACAAGGGTTACTAGTTAAAACTGCCCTGACCCCAAGCTGCTTCCTGCCTGTCTTTGCTGTACTTGGGAAGGAAGATGGTGATGTTCCCAGTTCAAGAATGCCACCTTTGTTTTTATTCCAGGATGCCAGGGTAATATTCAGTGTCCATGGGCTAAATGTGAGAAGGATACACCCACCTCTAGGAAGAGAAGCCAAGCCTACCCCCACATGCTCTCACACAGTAGGTGGCCCTTACCCACAGAGGCCATGAGTGAGAAGATCTCCAGCATCACACTGCGGTACAGCAGTCTCTGAGAGGCATCCAGCAGTGTCCATTCCTCCTTCGAGAAGTAGACAGCCATATCCTTAAAGGTCACAGGGCCCTGTCACGATGGGAAGAGATGAGGTCCTAAGAAACTCCTTCCCTGGGTTTCACAGAGTCACTTATGCTTAGCTTTCTACTATGAGGATCCAAGGCCCTGGAGCCACTGCAACAGTGTCTCCTCACGGTCCCCCGACCACTGTGTTCAGCACTCAACAACAGAAGGCCGATGGACAGATGGGAGACCATCCAAGCTGGACATCTGACATGGAAAGCCCCTCCCTGTCCTTACAGATAATTCACATGCAGTCCTCTGACACAACCAGATGTGGGTCCCTCTTCTCTTATGCACCTGGACCATGGGCAGTGACACCATCTCTGCACGCTCCCTTCCCACAGCACTCTTTGTACTGCCGGTCCCTTTCCATCTCTGTAAACAACACCCAGCTCCTCCGGCTGGTATTCCAGCCCTAAGTCCTGTCTTCCTCTCTTTCCACCAGACATAACGGACACTTGAGGTTTTCTGAGCATTCCAATCCAGCCTCACTTCCAGAATTGCCTAATGTTCATCACTGGAAATTTTTTTTTTTTTGGATGTAGGGTCCTCCAGTAGCCCCATCTGTCCCTAGAACTTGCTTTGTAGACCAGGCTTTCTTCAGTCTCACAGAGATCCACCTGCTTCTGCCACCCGAGTGCTGGGAATAAAGGCGTGTGCCACCACACCTGCCATTGGCTGCCATAGAATCCCCGCTATGTACTCAGGTAGGGGTTGAGACCTTAGCAAACCTGAGAGTACCAAGATCCAGCCTCACCGTCATAGTGATCAACCCCAAGTAGCACCATGCCCAGCCCCCTACTAATGGGGACAATGCAAAGCCCCTCCCACATTGTCTAGGCTAGACCTCGCTGCCTTACAGTAGGGGCTAGGACCTTAGCAGACTGTCTTGAGTGTCTAGATCTGACCTCCCTGTGGTGTTAAGCTCCCGGAAATTGCTGGATGCCCAACCTGCATTGGGACCAGGTGAAGCCCCAGGTCTAGACCTCTGTGCCCTTAGCAGACTGTCTGAGAGGGCCCAGATCAGGTCTCCTGTGGTGGTGAAGTCTCCAAAATCACACAATGTCCAGCCTCCTGTACTGGGACCAAGTGAACCCACCCACTTTACAATGTCCTAGAACTCTCTGCCCACTGTACGGGCCCAGACCACAGCAAACTACCTGAGACTGCCTGGATCCAGCCTCTGTGTGGTGCTGAGCTTCCCTAATCCTGCCATGCCCAACCCCCTAATTGGGACCATGTGAGACGCCATTTCGCTTCGCCAGGGCTAGAACTCTCTGCCCTACAGTAGGGGATGAGACCTTAACAGATTGCTTGGGGGGCCAAAATCGGGCCTCCCCTTAGCAAAATTCACAAATTATTCTTTGAGTGTCTGATAGTAGGCATCCAGAGGTCAGAGTGAGCCTGAATGTATCTTACTGGAGTCTGAATTGGGCCTCTGTGGGAGCTCCTGAGTAGCTGATATGAAGTAATCAGTTCCTTCCAATATAAAATCTGAGAGAACTGAAACCTAGACCAACCACCTTTACATACCCAATAAGAACACAGCCAAGGCTCACCAATGATACAAACAGAAGCAGGCTTCAACAAAGGAAAGCATGTGTTTCATATATGAATCAGAAACAGAAAAAGAAATCCACATGCCAAAAAGGCAATGGAAAAACAGTAATGTGAAAAACCAAAACCACATGTTCCCACCAGTCCTATAGAAGAGTTCTACAAGGAGAACCCCCTAGAGGTAACCCAGGACACAGAATTTAAAAGGACAATCATAAACAATTCCAAGCATTCTATCAGACCACAATGCAATAAGCTTACAATCAACACAAGAAGCCCTACGAACTACACAACCTCATGGAGACTGAACAACACACTCCGGAATGATGAGTGGGTCAAAGGAGAAATTAGAAGGCAATAAAAGTATTCTTGGAATTCAAAGAAAAGCACAATACAACACAATAAAACCTCTGGGACACTTTAAGAGCAGTCATAGAGGGAAGGAGGTCTACATTAAAAAAATCAGAAAGAGCACAAATAAATGACTTAACATTCCAACACAAGTCTCTGGAAAGGCAAGGACAACTAGCAGATGAGAATAAATAACAAAAATCATAGCAAAAATTAATGATGTAGAAGCCAAACTATACAGAGAATCAATGAATCTAAGAGCTGGTTCTTTGAAAAGGTAAACACTATAGACCCTTAGCCCAGTTAACCAAAAGAAAGAGCAAATTGAAATCAATAAAATCAAAGATGAAATGGAAATCATCACAAAAGACACCCAAAAAATCCAGGTTCCATTTAGAATGATGTTACAAAACCTGTAATCTATTAAAAGAAATGGATGAATATCTAAAATCATGGGAACCACAAAAGCTCAACCAAGAAAAGATCAACAGTTTAATCAGATCCATGACATAAAAGGAATGTAAACAGTAATACAAAACCTGCAGCCTAAACCCCCCAGGCCCAGATTGATGTACAGCAGAATTCTACCAGACATTTAAATAGATTTGCAAACAATACTAATTAAACATTCAAAAAGATAGAAATAGAGAACTCCCAAATTCCTTCTGTGATACTCTAATACCAAAACCAACTAAAGACACAACAAACCAAAAGTATAGAACAATATCCTTAATGCAAAGAAATGCAAAAATTAGAAACAAAATACATGCAATCACCATATAGACATACATCAAAAAGTTCATCCAGAAATATCAAGTAGGCTTTATTCCAGAGATGCAGGGCTGGTTCAACATATGGAAGTCAATAAACATCATGAATCCAATAAATAGACTCAAAGACAAAAACCACATTGTCATCTCAATAGATGCAGGAAAGTCTTTTGACAAAATTCAGCATGTATTTATATGTTCAGAGTCCTAGAGGGACCTGGACTGGAGGGAACATACCTCAACATAATTAAAGCTATATACAGCAAACCCACAGCCAACCTCATTCAAAGCGAAAAAACTGGAAGCATTATCATTAAAATCAGGAACCAGACAAGGATGTCCACTATCTCCACTCCTTTTCAACATTGTGCTTGAATGTCTTGCTAGAGCAGTAAGACAAGAGAAGGAAATTAAAGGAGTACTAATTGGAAGAGGTCAAAGTATCCCTTTTTGCAGATGATATGATACTATACATAAGAGATCCCAAACGTTCCACCAGAAAACTCCTAGAACTGATCAACACTTTCAGTAAAGTGGCAGGTTACAAAATTAATCTACAAAAATCAATAGCCTTTCTATATACCAATTACAAGCAATCAGAGAAAGAGTACAGGGAAACCCTCCCATTTACCATAGCCTCAATAAAATAAAATGAACTCTCAGAATTAACCTGACCAAAGATAGCAAAGATCTTTACACAAAAAAATTAAAATCTTTAAACAAGGAGATTGAGGAAGACTCAAGATGGAAGGACCGCCCATACTCATGGATTGGAAGAAATAATATTGAGAAAATGACCATCCTATCAAAAGTAATATATAGAATCAATGTTCTCGCAATCAAAATCCCCATGACATACCTCACAGAATTAGGAAAAAAAATCCTTAAATTCATAGAGAAGCACAAAAGACCCTGGATAGCCAAAGCAACCCTGAGCAAAAAGAACAATGCTGGGGGAATCTATACCAAACTTTACTACGGAGCTATAGTCATAAAAACAACATGGTACTCACACAAAAATACAGAGATCAATGGAACATAAGGGAAGACCCAAACCTGAGCACATGCAATTTCAGTCACCTGATATTTGACAAAGGTGCCTAGAATGCACAATGGCGGAAAGACAGCAGCTTCAGCAAAAGCGCCGGCAAACTTCATCTCCACCTGCAGAAGAATGAAACTAGAGTCTTATCTTTCACCTTGCACAAAAGTCAACTCGAAATGGATCAAAGACCTCTGTGTGAAACAGGAAACTCTGAAACTGATAGAAGAAAACATTGGTAGTAACCTACAAGATATAGGTGTAGGAAAGGACTTCCTAAATCAGACACCAGATGTGCAGGAATTAAGGAGAACAGTCAACACATGGAACATCATTAAAGTAAAAAGCTTCTGTAGAGCAAAAGAAACAATTAAGAAAGTGAAGAGAAAACCCTGAATGGGAAAAAATATTCACCAGTGATACATCTGACAGAGGTTTAATATTCAGAATATATAAAGAACTCCAATTGTTCCCAGCAATTTGAAATATGGCATTTTGTATGATACAGCTGGAATCTGAACTATTGGAGCCTACAATCAAGAAAACACATGACCCAATGAAAAGATGGGCTAAAGATCTAAACAGAGAGTTCTCTAAGGAAGAAATAAAGATGCTAAGAAACATCTTAAAATGAGTTCAACATTGTTAGTAATTAGGGAAATGCAAATTAAAACCACCTTAACATTTTATTTAACCCCAGTCAGACTGGCTAAGATCAAGAGAACAAATGATTCCAAATGTTGTCGAGAATGTGGAGAAAGGAGAACATTCATTCACTGCTGATGGGATTGTAAACGCATGCAACCCCTTTGGAAAGCAGAGTGGAGAACTCTTAAAAATAAACCTACTGCCGGCCATGGTGGGGCACGCCTTTAATCCCAGCACTTGGGAGGCAGAGGCCTGTGGATCTTTGTGAGTTCAAGGCCAGCCTGGTCTACATAGTGAGTTCCAGGCCAGCCCACACTACAGTGAGACCCTGTCTCAAAAACACCAAACAAACAAACCTACCATATTACCCAGCTATACCACTCCTTGGCATATACCCAAAGGTCTCATCCTATTGCAGAGACACTTGTACAACCATGCTTGTTGCTGCTCTTTTGACAGTAGCTAAGAGATGGAATCAACCTAAGTGTTCCTCACCTGACCAGTGATTAACGAAAATGTGGTACATTTACACAATGGAGTTCTACTCTGTTGTAAAGAAAGATGAGATAATGAAATCTGCAGGTAAATGGATGGATCTAGAAACGGTTATAGTAAGTGAAATAGCACATGCTC